GAAGTGTGTATGACTAATATGAGGTAACAGATGACATTTAGTGACACATTAAATGAGACAGGTCTTATTTATCATTAGCAAAGGTTCTTAATTTATGCCTTTGATTAGCGGTTGTTTTGTATTTATATTTGGGTGGTAAGAGCAACGATCGTGGGTTTCTCTGCCATGCTCTTTCCCCGCAGGAGCTCTAGGTGAGCCTGGCACTCTCGTTCGATGTTAAATGGTTGTTAATGTTTTTGTTGTTCTTTCTATTTGTCTCATGTTTAATTTGAATTGTATGTAAATAAAGGTTAGGTGTATTTACTCTGCTTTTGTTTTATATAATTAAACCAAACATACCCTCTACAAAGTTAGTAGCCAGCGCCTTCCGGTCGATTAAAAAAATAGATACACACAACGTAGGGATTCCTTATGACGATCACATATTTTTGGCCACAACTACGATATATTATTTTCTATCGAACCTAGGGTTGTTATACTACAATGTGTTATGGTTTAATGATTTAATTGTTATTTTAAATTAATGAAATTATAATTTTGAACAAATTGCAAGGTCTTACAAAAGCAAATCTTTTTTTAGGAAAACAAAGAAAACACCTTAACAAACATGGATACGAAAAAGTGATTTTGAAAAAAGTTTTGTAAAAAAATTCATTCAAATTGGAGGTGAACTTATACTTAGTACCTGCAGCACTGTATTGTAGTAGATTATTTGTAATAAAATTTGGTAATGAAAATAATTACACAAAACTAGCAACAACGACGCTGAATAGATATTATTGTTACCTGCAAATACCATTGCATTTAATACTCCTTTATCTTCTAAAGACAAATTCAAGTCACATTGTGCAACGGGGACTACAAAAGATATCGCTCCTGTTTCAAATGTTTGAGAAAAACATGGTAGCATTGTTACTACCATTAGAAAAATATTAAATTTTCCAAACTCCGTAGCTGTAATTGCATCTTCAAAACTTGCAGCTTTTGTATCTGAAACTACATGTGTGTAAATATGTTGCTTTTGATGAATTTGAGTGGAAATGGAAGTTAAAAATATTTTTACATCTTAAAAGCAATTAGAGCTAGTTATTCGACTCAATAAAAATAGAAAACATCAGTAGGTCATGCCTGTACCTACATTTTAAAATATTTTCATGAAAAAACATACGGTTTATATGAATTTATTTTTAAAATTTTATATAATGGTATTACTAAGAATCTTCTCTTGCTTACCTTGAATTTCTTCATCATGCTTTGATATACTGTTTGTCCCATTTTCATTTCTTTTTTCGTCAGTAATATCTCCAACCGTCATTTTGTCTGTTTTAAGATTGACTAGTAATAATTTGAAGATTTCTAATAAACTAACTTAAAGGTTTATCAAAGCCATAGTTCACTTTATACTTATTTATACAGTAGCTTAATTTTGCGATAAAAGTATTGTTTGAATTAATTTCATATATAAATAGTAACAAGGTACCACGTCAGTTATGATAAAATTTGTACGATTTTCACATAACACTGTAGTTTCTATTATACTGTTAAACGTTGGTTATGGGAAATATGCTATCTTTAAAATATTTTGCTGCTTTTGCATTGTCCATTTGAATACATTACCCTTGGCATTTACTGTTTACAAAAGCATAGATAATTGGCAGTATACAGTACGTCTATTGTTTTTATTATATTAAGAAACTTACAAATATGCTTCACGTGTCAAGTATATGTACACTCGACGCAAGATAAAGGTTTCCAATCTGAATCGTATTTTGTTTGAAATAGGACGGCTTAACCGCTTGTCTATATGGGGCGTTCCCATTAAACTCGTGTGACAATATTTTACCATCTGACATTTTACGAGTTTTGTACAAAAATGCTTTCCTGGTAGATTGGCATTTTTAAAATGGGACTAATCGGCAAACTCTTATAGCAGACCCCGTATGCATTTTTTATTATCTTGTTTCTATTAAAAGAGTTGCATTTATATTACAATATAAAAATCGATTCATCCTAGTTAATAAATCTTGCGAAACGTCTACTACCTACTTACGAATAGTTAGATTGAATGGATTTAATAAAATTAAAATTTTTAATTTTTTTTTTAATTTTGAAAACCCTGCAGCTCGGAAACGGAGGCCTTAAGAGCCTACGTGTGGTGTAACAAAATTTACTTAATTTTTGCCACAGAATGGGCCTCTGGTTTTTCTGTACGCCATTAATGAACATTGCATAGGTGCCCGCAATGAAATCGGTTGAATTTCTTATAAAAGTTGTAAAGCATACAATTCTATATAAAAATGGCCTCTTGGCTCTTTCTTGTACTATTAAAATTAACAGAGTTAGGGAGGCTGGAAGTTAAGGGAAGATTTCAGAAATATGAGAAACATGATAGCGGTATATGTACAGGAACAATTTGGTGGATGTGCTGCTAAGAGAACATGTGAAGAAATTTATCCGAATCGCAGACAGCCTTCGCAAATATTGTTTGCTTCTTTATTCAGCAGATAAGGAGAAACTGGAATCTTTCGGTCTAATTCACGAAATGGAAGGTACGTTCAAAGAAGGGTAGGAACAAGACGAAAAACAAATTCTAAAAAGAGTAGAAGAAAATCTCGAAATTAGTATTCGTCGTTTTTAAACAGTCAAAGGAGTTGGCCGAAAAACCGTTTCAACTATACTCACACGCAGCAGTTACAGTGTTTCTATTTTCACCTTGTACAAAATTTGCTTAAACCAGATTGCCCGTTGAGATTAACATTTTGCGAGCGATTTCTTCAGTTACATAACAGGGTCACATTTTTCTCAGGAGAATTGTCTCTCGTGTGGAGCGAAGAAAATGCACGCACAATAAAAGAGCATCATATCCAATACGAATTTTCAATTGGCTTCTGGTGCAAGATTATAGAAAATTTTATTTTGAGGCCTGTCGCTCTATCTGCAAGGTTGAAGGGTCAAAATTATTTGGAATTCCTTCGGCAAGAACTTCCTTGGGCTCATTAATACTAGACGACAAATGTGGTTCATGCACGATGTGTGCCCCTGCTCATTACAGTTATTGGGTGAGAGAACAATTAAATCAAGCATTTCCAAACCGTTAGATTGGTCGCACAAAAGTTCAGGGGATGAAACGGGGGCATGACCCTCAGAAAAATATCACACTGTAGAATCTCATAACCATTTGGCATACCCAATGATGTAAGCCCTACAGCGTAACTTATGTATATTTCACATTTGAACTAAATGTCTCAAAACTGCAGCAGCTATAGAGAAAAAACTAAACAAATCTTGACATTTCAACACCCTGTAGATCGGTAACGAAGCGTTTGCGGACATATGTTTACATGAATTTTTAGTCATGAAATAAGCCAAAGAATTACCATCATCTTTATATAGGTACATGATATTTTCTTTTCAGAGAAATAGATATAATTTTTAATTTTTAATACGAAACTTACAACAATTTCAAATTTTTAAATGTTTTGTGTAATACTAATTTTAATGGTGTAACAAAACTAAAACATTTTTTTTTCTATACTATTCGATTGATTATTTAAAATAATTAAAAGTTGCCTTCGAATTTTTTTTACGTTTATATTTTCGTTCGCTATTGTCAATGCGCGTGCGTCAGTAAACGTGTGTTTCTTTAAATTATTGTATGCTCAATATCCATTGTTAATCTCAAAAAGGTAAATACATATTAATAACGACTAATATTTTTTCTTTTAGCTTTAAATGGATGCAAACTAGCCCTCATGTTCACCCCCAAAAATAATATTTCCGTGATAACTCGTTTTGTTTTTTCATTGTTTATAAAATGATGTCAAAATAAGTAAATAAGTTCATAACATTATGGGCCCGGAAATGCTTCCTTTCTGATAGATGTAAAATTTAAAAAAATACAGATTTTCTAAATATTTCGAAAACGATTTAAGATATTACAGAGTTTTGGTGTATAGTACAGTGGCAGTGTACTATCTTAAATAGTTTTCGAGATATTTAGAAAAAAACGGATTTTATATTTCTTTCGATATCTATCTCAGAAAGAAAACATTTCCGGACCCATAATGTCATGAACTAATTTACTTATTTTTACTTCCAGAACACGTCCTTAAAATATTTCCCTTTCCTCCCAAAACTGTATGTTATAATAAAACTGTAGTTTACAATATTTTTTTATTTTGTTGCCTTCATGACCTACCTACATACTTTCTGCAGAATATGACACAAATTCTTATTTCAAATTATTAATTTTCTCAGGGACAAGAAAAATAATGTGGCAAGACAAAATAATTTCAAAACCTGTATACTCTTCTCTTTTTATAATGCATATACTTCAGGCCTACAATTTTTTGTTATGTGTCGTTACACACGTGCCTACACAAAAACATATGATACGCCCCTAATTATTTGATGCCTCCCAAAATTTCTATTAATAGTCCACCGGCTCGCCCCTTTAAAAGTAGTATGCCTTTTAGGTTGAAAACCTTTATCTTGCGTCGAGTGTACATATATCTTATTTAATAATTAATTCTCAAGACGTCACGCCACGCGAAATGTATCAGTTGTGTATGCTCTATGCTGATGCTTTAAAATTTTGTTTGATACTAAAGGAAAACGTCAGTAACTTCGTGTGTAAAATGGAGTTTGGAAGCAATTTGTTCAGTAATTAATAATTTTAGATTTTTAGAAACTTGTGCAACTACAGCAATTATATAGCCTATAGTTTTCAATTTTTTTCTTATTTCTTCATAAGCTTTCAGCCGTTTTTTTCGTTCTACGCATTATAAAAAAACTGTCATGTAGTCATAGTTGTTCTATTAGAATTTCTAGTCTTTTTCTTTAAACATTTTAATCTACACTCGTGTAAAATATATAGGTAACTCATGACTCATGAAGTGAAATGGAAATTGCACTAATATTCGTCACATGGCGTGGAGTGGCGTGCTGCTAGTGGGTATCATCACCTTTATTCAGTTTGATTTTTTTTTTGTTATCATTTGGAGTGTTGTGAAAATATATACAGTGTAGAACGGCCAAATGGAATAAATGCATATTTATAAAAAAATCCAGAGACGCGTCGACTTTGAATTCTGAAATAACATCATGCAACGTAAAAATTTTATACCTCAATTCAACACCGTTCGAGTGGCAGTTGCAACCTCTAAATCTTTAAGTGGGAAGTAGGGGTTTGTGACACCTCATTTGTAAGGTCTTTCCATGCTTTGCTCAAAAATGCCATAGTTTTAACAAAAAACTTTGCAATAAAAAAATAAATTCACCTGCTTGACGAAATTTACTATAGCAGACTAAAAAATAAAACTTAATTTCAATGTAGGAAATGTTCAAAATAAGTTCCTTGAACGTTTTGGCAACATGTGAGGCATGACCGACTTAACCGCAACCGTTATTTGGCTTAGTTTTGTATACCATATTTTCACATATCCCATAGAAGAAAATCTAATAGTGTAAGATCAGGAGAACGTGCTGGCCATTGTAGCGATCCTCTCCTCCCTATCCACCGATTTGGAAATGTTAAGTCAATGTATTACAGGACACTGATTCAGTAATGTAGTGGTGCTCCATCCTGCTGGAACCATATCACATTGGCAGGAACTTGTGGATTTGCTTGAGTAAAATATAAGTTTGCTGAAGTTGGCACGGCATTATTTTGGAGCAGAAGTAAATAATTACCTCTATTCAACTTGCCATCAATGAAAAAGGGACCAATGACATGGTCTCCAATTATCCCTGACCAAACATTAACCTTTTCAGGACTTCCAGTGAGGATTTTCATTAGCCCAGTAGCAACAGTTTTGACGATTAACATGGTCGTGAAGAGTAAAAGTGGATTAATCAGAAAACAAAACATTTTCTAGTTGTTGGATAACATAACCTTTGCATCATTTTTTCACAAAAATACGTTATATCCAAATCGTCCCCATTATGCTCGTGAATTGGGATTAGTTAATAGGAGTGCATTTTATTTTCTTTTAATACGCGAATAAAAGAGGAAACATTTAATGATTACATTCTATCTATGTAACTAACCATCTGCATAATTGTTATTTTATGTATTTGTGTTAAATAGACCATGTTTAGGAATTGCAGTTACCAAAACTCAAACAATACGCAAAACACTGACAGCTATTTATTGCTGTCAATTAAATAGCAAATAGTTACGGCGTTTTCCGAAAAACTGACAATGTTGAAAAAAATACTAACATTGTTTTTGCTAGTCTGCAACAACAAAACCCTGTAAGTTTTTGTTTTTGTTTGTTGAAACGAATTCGGTAAAGCAGACCGTTAATTTCTGTGGTAAATATTAAAACCGTAACATTTTTTAATAGATAATGAAAATACCATTCTCTCCCATTTAAAAATGTAGGTGTTGCAACTGCCACCTGAAGGGGCTGAATTGAGGGTAA